TATGCCCATTAAAAATATGTCTTTTTATTGGATATGTTGATGCAAACTTTTAGGGTTACGAGGGTGCTAGGGGTCTGCAAGGTATAAGTGGACATAAAGGAGTAAAGGGTCATTCTGGTCTGCCTGGACCGAAAGGACCTCGAGGAGATACTGAAGAAGCTGTCGTGGGAGACAAGGTGAGTATAGAAGATGATAACTATTTTTATTATATTGTGGTAAAATTTTTCGGTTTACTCCTCAATCTATTTTACAAGTACTTAATTTATTCTGTAAACTACAATCTCTAATATATATTATCACAATTTAAAAAATTTCATATAAAGTAGTATGTATACAAGGATATTCAGCCAACTGCAAGTCTGTTGATTGTTGACCTATATTTAAGTTAAATGAGAATAATTATGCATTGCTTGAGAATGCCTTGATTTTATTTACATGCTACATTGAGGTGATCAATAAAAAACCTGTTATTATTTAAATCAGGGTAACATATTACGACTTGAGCTAAACATATATAAATAAATTTAGTTCATAAATACATTTTATTCTTATCTTTCAGGGTGAATCAGGATGGCGTGGCTATCCAGGAGATGAAGTAAGTTTGAGCTAATACTAAATTTATATTTGGTTTATGAAAGCTTAAATATGAATTTATACATTTTCGGTTTGCGTTTTATATTATTTATCTGTTCTGGCCTTACCTTCAGAAGCCCATACAATTGATAATAAAGAGCTAAATTTATGGGGACTCATGAGTTAAATCTGTTTTTAGAAATTGCACTTATCAGTAATTACAAGAGCTTACGTGAATACTTGTTCAATAAGACTTTTATAAGAATGAGTTCCAGCCTTTATGATGCCCATCATATAATGGACGATAGCTCAGCCCGTTTTCAGCCGAAGCAATGGTGGATGTCTCGTGGACTGCGTCAACCTGAACTTATTAGTAAAAACAAATGGCCGCAGTATAACGGAATTAAGCTGTCGTCTTCCGGTAAGATCAACCTACAAATATCTTTTTTCATGCACTTTAATACGAAATGAAGGTCTCCCCAACAATGGTATCTCAAGAGATTTAAAGAAACCAGTTACTTTTCTTATCTAGATGCAGTATAGTATGAAGAGCAGTTTTCAAGGAACACAATGAATGAATTATATTTCATTTGCTGATGAAAAATACATAATGATTGCATATTAATGAATAATAAGTTGCCAATGTTTAATGTGAAATTGATATAATTAAATTATAAATAATGCCCAGGTGGCTTATACATCTACTTAATTCGTGATGTTTAGTTTACTTATAAAATTAAAAAATCTTTTTCCTAGTTAATTTAAAACAATTTATAAATCATTTATTTCATAACTTAGAGTAGTATAGTAAATTAATATTTAGTAAACAATCTTTTTATGAAGAAGCCAAGTGGTTTACCTCCAGATTCATTTTATATGTGACCCTAATAATTTCAGATACAACTTTATTCAAAAGCAAGGTGCATTCACGTCTGATAAGCAATTAGAAAAATCTGATGATTGACAAATTTTCGAACATTATGAAACTAAAAATAATGAAGATATAGTGCTCTTGTGGCATATTAGCAATCCGAAAAATTAATTTTTCTTAGGCCTTGTATATATCTAACTTATCTATGTGTATTAACAGTACTTTCATCTGTATAAAGATATAAGTTTTTTTATGAATAAAGAAGTCAACAATGTTTATTATTTTTAGTGTTTAAATACAGGACTGCAAAATTCTTGAAATTAGAAATAGCCTTTCTTCGCTATATTTAAGGTTTAAACTCCAATATCATTTCTCGATAAGTACATAACTCAAAACCATAACTCAAATTTTACTAAACAGTGACATTCTAAATAACTGGCCCTAAAATATTCTGAGATGAGAAAAATGAATATGAAATTATTTCATATAAATAATAAACCTACCTTTAGCGGAATAATAAAAAATTTAGGAATCTTAGTTGTTTGTGCTTATACGCGTTAAAGGAAGATTAGTAAGAAGCGTAAGGAAACCTTTATTCCAATAAATATTCTAGGATTATTTCTCAACTCGTACGACTTTTAATATTACTCAGATATATACCGAATTAAATTTCTATGTTAATCCAGATTATAATATCCACTATTTTTACTTATATAATAATAAAAACATTTACTTAAAAAAGAGCACTTTTTTATATAAATAAGTTGAATCCTATTAAAATATTATTTTTATTATTGATGAGAATTTTAATTCAATGTTTTATGAAACTCGGAGCCAACTTGCAGGCTTACATATTCAAATGAAATATAACGCTAATTTTGGTGGTCTTGCATGTGATTTATATTTATATTTCACTTTAGAAGTACATTTTTATGTAGGAGCCAAAGTATCATGTGAAAATGGATAAAATGTACTTAGTTTGAGTAAAATGAATATATTTTGTCGATTAAAATTAAATATATGCATAATAATTAAGCGTTATAAAGATATTAAACTATCGTATCTTCTGCTAATAATCTAAGAGTGTAAACTAAATCAGTTGAGTAAAATATTTGATTTAGGAATCCCTAATAACTTTATTTACAGTGCGTATTAACGTCTTTAAGACTTGTTGTCTATGAATATGACCTATTTTATTCTTGATTATCTAAAGAGCATATATACCTATATATATGTATAAAATTAAAATCCTGCATATCTTACTAATAAAAGCTTGTCTAAGTGTAATATTTATTTTTTTAGTTTACATGCATTTTCCCAAAGCTCAATTTCCCTGATAATTAATATTAATCTCTAATACACACTAATTTAGCATATTTAATTCATTTTATAATTGTTATCGCTTAAGACCAAATATATAGTTTTCATATTTTTATTTATAGTTAAAATCTAGGCCCAAAATAAATTAATAAAAGTTACTAATGTCCTTTAATCTTGTATTAATTTATAAATAGTACTCATGTTACATACTTAACTCACCCTGTATCATCTAAGAGCAAAAATATTGCTTGTCTCTAGAAGGTGCGCGTAACGATGAAACAGTACACACGATGATTTTTTTCTGTCTTGCAGTTAGCATTTTAAGCTGCTATTAAGGGAGCATAGCCTTTTATTTTATACATATAGTGAAAGACAAATATTACTCCCAGCTATATTTCATTTTTACAGTTTAGAATATGAACCTAACAATTTGATAACACCTGGAATATATATATTTTTTTATTAGGGCAATAAAGGATGGAAAGGTGAGCCTGGAATCGAGGGACCCCACGGCCATAAAGGGCTCAAGGTATGTAAAGTTAACTATATGTTTAGTTTACATTTGCTATTTTCTATAAGCCAACTTTATCTTAAGGAACCTAGGCTTCTAGATTCATCAAAATATCTTCTTAATTCCTCTTCGAATGGTTAACATAGCTTAAATAATTTCCTATCTTTACTTAAATAGCGAGAAAGAAATATTAAATTTACAATGGAATTATTTTTCGTATAGAAGTAGAGTTTAGAGAATACCGGTACATCTCATACAATTGAATTAGAAGAAAATAGGAAATTACATTTTTGAATGTTACGGTAATTAAGCAAGATCGTAAGTTGGGAATAGATATTGATGGGAAACCAAAATAGGCTAGTTTAGACCTTAATTTGCTTTCTAACCATAGATAGAATACTAAAATAGGAATCAACAAACCTTTTATCATTAGGAATATGAGGCTTGTAGATAAAAGCATCCGACTAAAGAGTTAAGAAGATAGAAATTTTTATTCCGATAGAATAATTATCCTTTGGACATACTTGATAATAAAACATCCAT